TAAAAAAACACAAAAATATACTTGGTGTCACATACTAAACAAAATAAAGAGAAAATGATTCTTGAGGGTAATTAACTTTTGCGTTTGTACTCATTTGGTCCATTTCCTTTTTTTGTATTCAATATACCATTGAACTTGTTGTTTGTGTTCACCATAACCCTTTTGACCGACTTTTGATCTGTGATAGCCGGTCAAACGGTTATGGTGAACATAAACAACAAGTTCGATGATATATTGAGTACGAAAAAAAGGAAAAAGACCAAATGAGAACAAACTCAACAGTTGGTTACTCTCCTGAGTCATTTTCCTTGAAAAGTTAAATGAAATTAAAGTTGCAAAATTATCAAAGACTGCAACCTTCTTTGACTATAACGTATATGAAGAGCGTTTCAGAGGGGTAACGTCGTTAAAACATGGCCTATGCTATGCTTATTGTGGTTAACTGTCAACACCTTACTTCAAAAAGATATGATTGTGTATGAGAGGTATATTTATCAGCAAAAACGTTTACCTCAAGGTATATTATGGTGATGTGTCTGCAAAAGCAGCATGATATTGTACATATGGATGTTGTATCTCATCCCATGAATTCGATCTTAAAGCTAAGTAAACTCAAAAATCACAACACTTGTGATTCCACTCATTTGTAGACTTGTCTAGAATCCATGATACGATAAATCATTCGATTAGAAATGTAAATACAGTCATGAAATGCGCCTGCTTAGTCAAGATTCTCCTAATAAATATTCAAGTGCATTACAAAGTTGTACATATATAAATAGTGCTCTTTCGTGGGTTATGTTTTGAAGAGAAAAAATAATGAATATCATAAAATCATTAACATCAGTATGAGTTGACGTGGGATTTGCTGTAACCAACTGTTGAGTAAAGGAAAAATGACTCAGGAGTTCGATAGTATATTAAATACAAAAAAAGTTAATTACCCTGAAAGGTCATTTTCCCCAAAATAAAATTCTACATTTCTACTTACCAATAAATTATCACTCTTAATTGAATCCGTAAGAAACAAAATTTGAGCTAATAATAATTGAATTCTTTTATTAAATTAAATATATAAAGCACAAAAAAACATATTTTCTAAATGAAATCACACACCGTTCATCACATTATCCCTATTATCTCTTCCGCCAAGAATGGAGCTCTCAAAAATGTTGCTCCCATCTCCGACTTCCATCTCAATCCCTCCAAAACCTTACATTTCGCAATGCTTCCTGTACAACCGATCGTCATCCACCTCTCGCCGCCGTCTCAATCTCCGATCCATGGCTAAGCAAACCGGCGAAGAAGTTTCCACCAACGGGATTACAGAGAAACTGGCAATAGCCGGTGGGTTAATCGCGAACCCAGTAATCGGGTGGTCCCTTTACACCCTGAAGACCACCGGCTGCGGCCTGCCACCTGGTCCCGGCGGATCCCTTGGCGCATTGGAAGGCGTTAGCTACCTGGTGGTAGTGGGGATTGTGGGGTGGTCTTTGTATACCAAATCGAAAACCGGGTCGGGTCTACCTAATGGTCCTTTTGGGTTGTTGGGTGGTGTTGAAGGGTTGTCGTACTTGTCATTGGTGGCGATTTTGGTGGTGTTTGGAGTTCAGTTTTATCAGCAGGGTTCGCTCCCTGGTCCGGTTCCCGTTCCCGGTGACCAGTGCTTTGGTTGAGGTGATGTGTAAATTTTCAACATTTTTGTATTGTTATAAGTTTATAACTACAATAATAATTGTACCATATTTGTTTTTATATTGTCTTGTGTTTATATATACAGTGTTTTGAAATATAAATAAGTGTGAGCCCATGTATTACATGAGTGTATTTAAAATAATTAAATGTGTATAAACGTTTGAGAAATTTGAATTTATAAGAAAAATAAGAAAAATATTGAATTACTAAAATTAAAGTGTTTTTTTTTTCTCTTTTAAATTAAAACAAATCATTTGGATAAAATAATCAAAGCAAATTAATGAGATTTTATTTTAAACATTTGAAGTTATAAAGAATGTCCATTAATGAAATTTATATGCATTTATTATTAAATTTAAATACCATATACTCCTTAATAAATGAAAATATTTTTGCCACATGTCACTCTCTCATTAATTTGGATACATATCATTTTTTGGTAATTTTGATTAAATATTTTTTCCATTTGTCATTTTCTCATTTTTTTAAATATTTTCTTAACTAACAATCATATTTACACCTCAATTAATAATTGCTTTAATTGAAAATAACCAATAAATTACAATAATAGTATTTATATAATATTTAATATGTTTCCTTTTAAATTCAAATTTTAAATTTTAATTTTCAAATCTAAAATTTCAAATTTAAATAAAATTTTTGCTTAAACTTTTATATTTAATTTTTTTGCTTTATCAAACCCGTATAACATACGGGTTTCAGTCCTAGTGAAATTTAAATAAAATAGGAAAACCACAAAATTACATATGGAATAAAAAATAATTCAAAATAACTACAAAATAACATGTGGCAAAATAAATGAAAGTGTGACATGTGGCAAAAAAAAACCTTCAAATTAAATGAAAGGTTATATAATTCTGCCACGTGAGCAGTGAGTTGGCATATTTATATCTTTAAGCCTAATTGAAGTATTTATATTTTTAGATCTAATATGTACATAATTAATGAGTTTTGACTACTTTTAACAAAAACAAAAAAATCAGGGGCGACAATCCCTTCTAGCCCTAAGAAAGCTCCGACTATGTTACTATCTCTATATGTTTTTGTAAGCTCTCAAATATATATATATATATATATATATATATATATATATATATATATATATATATATATATATATATATATATATATATGGCTTTGGGAATATATGGCTGTTGTGTACCTAGATATAGGTATAGAACCTCCAAAACCGCGTCGTTTTGCTCTAAATAAGACCAAACCGCCTTCCTCCTCTTTATTTCACCTTAAATTCACATATGTTGTTCTTCTCTACTAGAACTCTGCTCCCCAAATTGTCCGTCAATTTCTTTCTTTTCCTTCTACCATTTGGCCCCAAGCACCAATTACCCAGGTAAACAAATAAATCAAGAAGATGTGTTTTCTTGGGATCAAGGTTATCGATAGCGATAGCGAGGAAATAGCGACAACCCACCTATACGCTACGTAGCGATAGCGATGAAATAGCGACAACTATTTCATGTTTTGTGATTTCTTATAAAATTAAACGCTATATTTACTTGCAACTATGCAGCAATAAAAAATAACGTAGAACTAACAAGTACCAGTTCTATTAAGCTAACATTAAGTTCCAAAAGATGTTTACCATAAAAGATTGGTTAGTTTTAGACTCTAAAGTCTAAAATTAAGTTCTAATACCACAAAAGAATCGTTATTTTTAGACCCTAAAGTCTAAAACTATGTTTCAATACCACAAATCGATTTTGGTGAGGTGTGCTATTGTCGTTACTATCGTAGACGTGAGAAATAACCCGCCAAAATCGACTTTGGTGATTTTGGAGCCGATCGTACAATCTTAATCGATTAGAGGGGAAGACACGAAATTGACTGTACGATTTCCCGCCTAAACCTATTCCGAGCCTAATTGCTACGTTTCTTACCGATTTAAACAAAAAAAAAAAAAACAAAAAATTTGCCGGACATCGCTACACACGCTATTGCCTCGCTACAGGCATCGTAGCGACCCATCACAGCTACGCTACGCTATTCGCTATAGCGAGTGTAGCGATCGCTATTAACAACCGTGCTTGGGATTTCTTCTTACCGAAGAATCAAATACGAAGAGAAACGTTGAAGATAGAAGACGATCATAATTGAAATTCTCTTACTTTTTACCCTAAATTTCATTTCTCCATTGTACCCTAGCTGCCTAGCTTGAATACACTGCTCAGTATGTATTTCGGTTATTTGTCGGTGGATGTTCTTAATATGGTCAATGTAAGCTATTATTGCTCAATTAAAGTGGACTTTCGTTTGTTTCCTCGTCATATTATTCTTGGGTTTTCCTTAATTTGGCTTTTAATGATTTGGGGTTTTGGGTTTAGCATGATTGTAAGGGTTTGTGGTTGATAATCATAGTATTCCAAAATTATTGTTTTTTTATTTTTTAGCTTAATTTAATGTATATCAAATACATATCAGATGTACAGAAAAAAAAAATAGTCAAGTTATTATTTCTTTGTGACATGAGAATGGATATAAAAAAAAAAAATAGTCAAGTTATTATTTCTTTGTGACATGAGAATGGATATAATTTGAGAGCTTAAGTCCCAAGTTGTTTTATTAATCTGTAGACACTCGTTTGACATTATAAGGAAATATTTGATATTATTTTGCATACGCATATTTGACAAATTTAGTCTATATTTTTTTCTTTTTACTCCAGGAATATTGTGGCATGATGTGTAAGGAACTCTAGTTCTGTTGTGAGCAAGAGCATCAGGATATTTGTACACATTTTGGAAACTATGCAGATTTTGGTTTTTTGTACACAGAAAAATCTTATTGTAACTAATATCATTAGTTTATTAGCAATGGAAAATCTCAAATAACGAATTTCATCAGTTTATAGTGGTAAGTTGCGACTCAAAGCTTGAAAAGTTGAAATAAATCGAATTATCAAAAAAAAAAAAAAAATTACATAGTTAGCTTCTCTTTTTCTTTGCCACCTCCAAAATAAATTCAAAATATCATTATTTGTCTTGTAAAGCCTCCTCAGCCTGATACAAACAAATATAAGCATTACTATAAATAAATATAAGCATTATACTAAGAAAATCATGAACAGTTAAAACAATAAAAAAAAAAAGAAATTACTTTTTTACTTGGACAACCGGTGACATAATGATCCAATCCCTTGCAGTGAGAACAAGTTCTCTTTTTCTTTGTCACCTCTAAAGAAGACTTAATCCTGCTTGCATTTTTAGGACGCCCCTTCGTATTAGTAAGAACAATAGGATCCCGAAAAGATATCTGAGGGATCATGTCTACTTGAAAAGTTCCCATACACAATCTTGAGATGCATTTTGAGGTCCATTTGGATTTATCTGGATCATTTCCTCTTCTAAAAACTTAACAACTAAATTATTGAACCTTTTTTTTATCTTCGAAGGAGAGTTTTTTGCATGTTCGATTGCTTTAGTACAATTTGAACGGACATACCATAAGGTTAAGGAACTAACTTCAGTTTCGGTATTCATGTCTTCTAGTCCAACACTACGAGCACCCACCCTAAACCTAGCATCAAGCGTCCACCTAGGTAAAATATGATGATCTGGAAGGGTTTGAACATTCCTTTTCTTCATCACATAAAGACTATGTTTGCATAATATGCCATATGTTTCAAATTTAGCACATGAACATATGACATCCACTTGATTTATGAAATGATAGCTGACAAATCTCCAATGTGCCTTATCAACGTTTACATGCCCAACCCGGTATTTAATTTCTTCTGTGCATTTTCTTACTGTCTCATGAGTTAAATTTTGTGTAGCTTCTATCCATTCTTTTTTAAAAATCTCAAAAATCTTTCGAGTATAACATTCACCTGCTTTTGCTTCTATTGGATGAACAGAAGATAGAATTGGCTTCGAGTTCATAGTCTTGAAGTCTTCATCTTCTTCAACGGCTCTACGAGATTCAACCACTTTATCATATTGAACTACAAACTCATTCAACATAGTCTTGGAATTAACAAACCCATCAAAAAAGGAATGGATGCTCTCGCTTCGTCCACTTGTAGTCATGCCAGCAAAAAAAACATCTTTCAAGTAGGCTTTGACCCAATGTTTTCGTTGGTCATACATATTGATGACCCAACAATTATTTTCAAGGTTATACTTACCAAGCATAACTTCCCACCCTGATTCAATTTCTTCAATTGTATCACTCTTTACCCATTGTCTATAAGACTCCTGAAAATCATTATAACACGCTACTAGTGGTCGAAGATGTTCAAGCTCATGCTTTTTAATATGCCATGCACAGTAGCGACGCCGAGTGTTTGGAAACACTTTTTTTACCGCATTACCGATAGATTTATCTTGATCGGTTATAATTGCAGATGGATATTTGTTGAACATGCACTTTAAAAAAATGCTCAAATAACCATTGAAAAGTTTCTTCCTTTTCATTCTCTAGCAATGCACCACCAAAAAGTATGGATTGACCACGATAGTTCACCCCAACAAAAGGAGAAAATGGCATCTTAAATTTGTTTGTCATGTAGGTAACATCAAACACAACAACATCTCCAAATTTGGTATAGGCATCCCTTGATCTTCCATCAGCCCAAAAAATATTTTGAGGAGACCCATCTGCAAAAAAATCCACAACAAAATATTGGTTAACATCAATCAATGCTTTATATTGGAAATGTTTGATGAGACCATAAAACCCCTTACCCTTGTATTGTCTTCGTTGCTCAGATAAGACATCCACACATTGCTTTGAAGTAACATCGATGTCAAATGGAGCTTTCATTGCATTAACAACCTTTTTGATTTGTGAAGGCTTTAACCCCTGACTGGCCAAGCTCTACCATAAGAGATTTACATGCCAACGAACGATGGGACTTTCCATGAGAATGATGTTTCATTACTTTTGTTGGTGTAATACTCAACTCATGAATGTGTGTATCATTAAACATGTCCACAAACCATTTTCCATCTTTCCCTTTTGAAATATGAAGCATTGCTTTACATCCGATCCTTAAATTTCTACGACGTTTCTTTGCATATCCACATGAGCTACTAGCCTTCAATCTTTTGAACCCTTCTTTGTTGCAAACATACATCTTACGGTAAGCCTCATTTGTTGTCTTATTTTTATAGGCCTATTGAATACGTATATCAAATCCATGTAAAAAAGAATATTGATTATAAAACGTATACGCATCATGAGGCGTATCAAAAATCTTTCCCATGATACCTTCATCGTTACTTTCATCTCCATCATGTCCAAGGTTAACATCAACATCAAAATAAGATGCATCTCTTTGTAATTGCTCGTCAGCATCAACATAAGTTGCATATGTTTGTAATGGCTCATTAGATTCTTGAAATTCTAAATCTAGTGTATTATGCATGTCCTGTAGCATACACACAATATTGGTCTCATATATATATATATATATAATATATATATATATATATATATATATATATATATATATATATATATATATATATATATATATATATATGGAAAAGTGACTATACCCTTAAGGGTAAATAAGATATATCCAAACCCACCATAATACGTCACTTTGTTTGATATATTCATTATAATGTTCTTAAACTTCAAATTTTACTATTATATTCCTCTTACATTACATCTTTTTGTCAAACACTGTCACACCCCCAAACCAAGGATGGCGGAAACGTCCGGGGGTGGAGGACTTCATGTATAGTATCATAACCACAATTTCAATAGTAATTTAAGCAAACACAACCAACATATATATAATTGAAAAAGTTACATCACTTATATGAATTACATGTTTCAAAATCAATTATAATATGTTGACAAAATATGAAAAGTTTGACGCCTTAACGTCCCATCCTCAAAAGCACTTGATTACCTGTTTAGTGATTTCCTGAGAATACAAGTTGTTTGAAAAGTGTCAACACAAAGGTTGGTGAGTTCATAAGCTTTTATTATAAAACTAGGTAGAAGTCTTTCACATGTAAATGTCGCGTTTGTTTCAGAAAAATCCGATATTTTCCTTAAAATCCGTATAATGTAGCCTTATAACCAAAGACCAAAATGTATAAGAAATCATCCTTACTTAGTAGAAATGTCGTGAGTTTGAAATGATATGGAAAGTAAACTTTTAAATCAACCTAAAACCTACTTAGGTTTTATGAAATCCCGTAAACTTTATGAATTGTTATCTCCCTAGGTGAGTCGCTATAATCATACTGTGACTATGTGAACCTGCCACAACGTTTCTCAGGCGTCGCAAAAATGAAATGACATTTGTCACCTGTAGACCTGCAGGTCCCACTGTAGCTAGCAGCAAGGTGTGGGGTGTCAAACCCAATATAGATCTATATACAATTACGTTCTCCCTCAAGGAGATTCGATTATAACTACCAGGAATTATATCCCGCACTCGGACGTACGGGGAGAGAGAGAGAGTCTCACAATATAGGTTAACAAGTTTACGTGAAATGTGTGTGAATATAAATCTTTCTTGTATGAATGTACCCTTTTTGTACGAGTGTGTTGAGTGATGTATCATAAACTATACCTATTATAGTTTATCTAAAATGTATGTAATATGTATGAACTCTTTTATGAAAATGTATTAGTGTTATGAATTTATCAAACTATACCTTTATAGTTTAATATACGTGTTCTAAAATGAATGATTAATATTTATTATGAATTACTTAGTTTCAGTTCATGATGAAAACTAAAAGGAAACACATTCAATAATTAGAACTTATGATTATACACTTTGCTCAACATAATACAAAGTGTTATGATATTTACATGCTGTTGGCTAACTTTAGCCATTCTGCCCTGTTTGGAAAAATCATAGAAAAATCATACGAAGTCGAAAACTAGATCCGTAAATTCTGAGAGTTCACAAAATGTGTCTAGTTTACTCATAATTTTTTATCACGATTTTTAAGGACCTCCAACTTGGGTGAATAAGTCCAAAATCACAGACTGGTCCGGATTGTTGTTTGAAATGATAGTCAGTTTTGTAAAAATCACCATAAATTGTAGAAAAATCGTATGGAGATGTGCAAGTAGTCATTTTAAAGCTAAAAACTTGAACTATTTGCACCTTGTACAGTTTTGAAAACAAAAATGTTTAAGATGCCCAAAACAGTCCGTGAATGGAGTTGAACTTTTCTGATGAAGGCTGTTAGAAAATTTTAGTTATGTTCTTGGTGTTTTAACTTGTATTCCCCCCTTAAAAACTTGAGAAAACATGAAAATGTAGGGGTATGAACTCACCTTAAGTGATTTCAGTAGATGATTGTTGAAGAATGGAAGTGTTTAATTCAAGAACACTTGGAGATGCCTTGAAGATTTTCGAGAATCTAACATTATAGTTATGGAGTTTGTGTAAGCAATCAATGATTTGAGTAGAATGAAGTGAAATAATCATAAGGAGGATGAATTTTACTTACTAAGAGTGGAAGAACACTTGAAAATCAGCCTTGAATCTCGAAATTTATGTAGAAAAAGTTTGAGAGAAATGTGGTGTTTGATACTTAGTGAAATGAGAGCAAATGAGAGAAAATGAGGAGAGATGATTTTGTTCCAGCTCTAAAAATGGGAATGAGTGTAATTTGAGTGTAAGGGACATTGAAGTGACCTAGGTAAGGTGGGGAGGTATGGCTGGTCATAGAGTGGGTGTGGGGTGGTTGCTTGTGACATAAGTTAAGGCAAAGTCAACACTCCACCTTAAATAAATCCCCCATTAGATCTTTATTATTTAGATAATGATTTTCATCAAAATATGTTTAAATTATTAATATTTAGGGTTTATTATGTTAAAATATAATTTCTGGAGAAAATCCCGCTTTAAAATCACGAAAAACGGGCTTAAAATGTTAAAAATATCAAAAAGGGGCTAAAAGTGACAAATTTCCGAAATCTGGCGAGGTTCGGCCTTCTGATGCTGAAACAAAAGAGAAGAGAGGGCAGAAACCGAGAGGGAGAAGAGAGAGGCAGGAACCGAGAGGGGAGAGAGAGAACAGAGAGGCGAAGGAGAGAAGAAGATAGAGACCGAGAGAAGAGAAGAGAGAGCAGAGACCGAGAGAAGGCAGAGAGGCGGGAGGCGAACAGAGCAGAGAGGTGGGGGAACAGAGAGGGAAGAAGGAACCGAGAGGCGACAGAGAGAGAGAGGGCGACAGAGACGAGATTCGGTCTCAGCTACAGATTCGGTTCTCCGGGTTCAGCCAATAGAGGCTCGGTTCGGTCCTTGCTACTTTCGGTTCCTAGTCTCGGCCTTAAGGAGCTTCGGCTCCTTGAGAAGGGTTTCGGTTCCTAAAGTCCATTTTTCTCGTTTTTACCCCGTTTTAAGCCGTTTTTGACTCGGTTAAGGGTCGGAATGACCCGAATGATTCTGAAAAGTTACGGGAACTTTTGAGAGAGATTTGGGAGAGATTTCACATACTTGGAGAGATTTGGGAGAGATTTGACATTCTTGGAAAGATTTCTCATATAAAGAGATATTTGAGAGAGGTTTCACATACTTGGAGAGATTTGACATTCTTGGAGAGATTTCTCATACAGAGAGATATTTGAAAGAGATTTCACATACTTGGAGAGATTTGGGAGAGATTTGACATTCTTGGAGAGATTTCTCATACAAAGAGATATTTGAGAGAGATTTCACATACTTGGAGAGATTTGGGAGAGATTTGACATTCTTGGAGAGATTTCTCATACAAGAGATATTTGAGAGAGTTTCACATACTTGGAGAGATTTGGAGAGATTTGACATTCTTGGAGAGATTTCTCATACAGAGAGATATTTGAGAGAGATTTCACATACTTGGAGAGATTTGGGAGAGATTTGATATTCTTGGAGAGATTTCTCATACAGAGAGATATTTGAGAGAGATTTCACATACTTGGAGAGATTTGACATTCTTGGAGAAATTTCTCATATAGAGAGATATTTGAGAGAGATTTCACATACTTGGAGAGATTTGGGAGAGATTTGTCATAGAGAGAGATAGAGTGAAGACGATTGAGAGAGGTTTCAAGTGTGGCATTTGTGAGTGTCCGGCTTCGCAATGTAAGGTCCGCAAACACTGTTAAGCCTTGTTTAAGGATCTTACACATTCCCGATGAGTATGCAACATGGTTTTTATCAGTTTAGTTCATCGATTTGCTCTAAGGCTCAGGAAATTTTAACACAAGATTTTTCCCAAGTGATGTTTTCCCATTAATATAGCAAGTATACAGTATGAACATAACACAAACCCTAATACACATGGTTTAATCGAGTTGACCGGTTTGACTTGATGACTCGACTTGACTCAAGATTGACGATTGTCACATCATCCCCCCGTTAGAGGGAATTTCGTCACGAAATTTAAATTCGGCTGGGACTTCAAGGTTTTGGGAAAAGATGCGGATACTTTTGCTTCATTTGATCTTCGCGTTCCCAGGTAAACTCAGGCCCTCGTTTCGCGTTCCAACGAACCTTCACTATGGGAATGCGACTATGTTTTGTTCTCTTGATCTCTCGATCCATGATCTCGACTGGTTCCTCCACAAAGTGGAGATTTTCATTAACTTCGATTTCGTCGAGCGGTATTACGAGTGTCTCGTCAGACAGACACTTCTTTAAGTTGGATACGTGGAAGGTAGGGTGTATGTTACTAAGTTCTTGTGGTAGTCGGAGTTTGTACGCCACAGGACCAATCCTGGCAAGGATTTCAAATTGTCCGATGTACCTTGGGTTTAGTTTCCCTCGTTTACCGAAATGTATCATCCCTTTCCAGGGGGAAACTTTTAGTAGTACCCGGTCTCCAACCTGGAATTCTAAAGGTTTACGTCGCTTATCCGCGTAACTCTTTTGTCGATCACGAGACGCCTTCAGTCTTTCCCGAATTTGAATGATCTTTTCTGTGGTTTCCCTTATGATTTCAGGCCTAGTAAGGGTGCTATCAGGGATTTGCCCTCTGGCTAGCTGAGTATCCCCGACTTCGGCCCAACATAGAGGTGATCTACACTTGCGACCGTAGAGAGCTTCGAATGGAGCGACTCCAATGCTAGTGTGATAGCTGTTATTATAAGAGAATTCGATAAGCGGCAGATGGGTATCCCATGCCTTACCAAAATCTATCACACAGGCTCTCAGCATGTCTTCCAATGTCTGGATGGTTCTCTCGCTTTGTCCGTCATTTTGTGGATGGTAGGTCGTACTCATGTCAAGCCTAGTTCCCAGAGACTTCTGTAGGGACTGCCAGAATTGCGAGGTGAATCTACTATCTCGATCAGAGATAATGGATGTTGGTACACCATGCAGTTGCACGATCTCTTTA